TGGTGTCTCTTTCCTTCTGCCAAGTCTGCCTGTGCTCCATTTCATGCCCACGCAGCACCGATGGCTGATCGAGGAACTGGTGCCTTGCTACTCAAACCAGTTCTTGGACTGTTATCACGTTACGAGGAACACTTTACAAATCATAAGAAGCGTTTTCTCTTTATATATCCATATCCACATATCACTTACATCTTTAACACATCCTTAGCCTTCATGCACATCAGTCACAATATATTCTCATCTAAGTGACGAGATGTTCTGTTCAGGCACGCTCATGAAGGCCAGTTCCTCCCCCACGCCACATGCTTGCAGCTTTCCAGGAACCCAGTGTTACACGGCCCTTCTTCCCCGCGTGTCTCCCAGGATAAGGCCACTCGTTTTTCTGACGCAGGGTGCTTGGCCCGAAGAAGTCTTGGGACCGTGACTGCGGAAGGTTGAGCGCATACACGGAACATGCTCCTGGCCTAGGCAAAGGAGCGATGGCTCATACAGACAGACGATTTCATCACTGTCCCTGACCACATCCATGCCACTGAAGGGATCCTTTTTACAGTGAGACACGAGAGCCGTCAGAGCCCCTGCATAAAACCTTGTGTCCATGTGGGGTGCTGAGCAGGCCAGCAGCATGTACGGTGGTGGACCCCTCTCCTGGCTTGGCTGGCACATGCTGGACCCCAACACGTGCCAGCCGTGGGGCTGCGCTGCTTGCACAAAGCAGCCCAGGTGCTGCTCCACCATGGCAATGTCAGCCTGCAGCAGTGGCCTGGCCACCCACCCGGCCCCAAGAGAGGTCCCTCTGGAGACGCACACACTAACATCGCTGTCCTGAGACCCTGTGGCACGACTAAGCTTTCGCCTACACACGGCAACTCTCTCCCCCCTGAAGCTGCACCCAATCTGTGTGCCGGCCCACATGCTCCCCAGGTGTTGTCCAAGAGACTCCTTGCCGTAAGCCAGAACCATGCCAGGAACACCCAACAGCTTGGCAGCTTAGCACGGCTAAACCATAGTGTCAGAGGATCAAGTTCAATGGTAGTCTGCAACAAGTCTCCAAAGAAAACCTAGGGGACAAGAATGAGTCAGAAAGTGCCCTGGCATACGAGAGATGCATCTGGAAGGCAATCTAAAATGTTCTCAGACGAGCTCCCCTTGGCTGGCACTTCCCAGGTGTCCTCTTGGTCTTCCAGGGCACAACTGGGGAGATGGCGAGCACGATGTGCAAACAGCGAATCCTGCGTGAGACACGGATGAGGAACACGGATGAGGAACACGGATGAGGAACACGCTGCTCGAGCCACTTCCCAGGCCGGGCTGCCTGGTCAATGCCTGGTCAAGCCCAGCTCTGCGCCCAGCGCTGCCTGCAGGCAACGGGAGCCAGCACGGCAGGCACGGCACGCGCCGGTGACACAGGACAGACACCTGTGCTTCAGGACTTCCTGATGTTGAAGGGCTTAATTTTAGGGCTCAGCCATGAATGTTGTACTAATGCTGGTTATTCGCATCTAGTCAGCTCTAAACTTGTTAACGGACCCTGTGCTTGATCTCAACTACTCTTTTGTCTCTGGCTAGTCTCTTCTCATACAAAAACAGAAGTTGGGAGGACGTTACAGTTGGAAAGAGAGCAAAATATAGCACAGAAAAGCAGGGACCATTCTGTCAGGAGCTCCCGACAGCCCAAACTAAACGCTCCAGAGCTTTCAGAAACCAACTTCAAAAACTTTGATCAAATCCCAATATATTTTCCAGGGGATAAACAAAAAAAAGTTCCTAATTGAGGACAAACCTTCTGCTTCTAGGCAATCTTTGTACAAAATCTCTGAAGATTTACAGCTCTTGGAGACATATTTTAATCTTGGCAAAACAAATCCAGAATTACAGCATGGCTGAGGCTGGAAGGGGACTCTGGAGGTTCTCTTGTCCAACCCCTCGGCTCAAGCAGGGCCACCCAGAGCGAGTTGCCCCAGACTGTGTCTGGCTGTTTTTTGATTATCACTGAGTAGGGAGACTGCACAACCTCCCGGGCACTTGTAACACCACATTTGCATCCATGCTCTGCAAAAGTAAGCCTTAGGTGGACATAAGGCAGCTGCAAAGTCTGACAACGTTCTGAGCCTCTGAAAACAAGAGTTTACAATGGGAACACATGCAACCTACAATAAAACCAACTCTGACTACCGTAAAGTTGCTTCTTTTAATGGTTTAAATACCAGGGTACAATCATCCATTGATCTGAGTCCCACAGCTTTCACAAGTACAAGCTCCTTCCCCATTACTTTATTTAATTCCAAGCTGTACTGTCTGTACCTACTTTGCAGGTGATTTTGAATCGTCACCACAGTGCTGCACATGTGTATTTTATCCACATACAGGGCAGTGTGAGATCTTTCTTTTTTTTGTCCTCTTCCCCTTCATCTGCTACTTCTTTTCCTGCCCCTGGGCAGGACTGTGCATATAGTGGACATTAACTAGCACACTCACGTACCTTGGCAGAGCTCAGGCCACAAAGAAACCATGTTCAAACCACTTGCTTTGAACTCGAAACACAGGCTATTTGGTTTTACCCAGATGCTCCTGGTGTAAAACAGCGAATCATTCAGGTCTCCAAAAAGCTCGTGTTCTCTGAAGATTAACTTGTCCACTGGCAGAGAACTGCAAGTTTTGAGGGGCTCCCTCTCCAGCTGCCCAAAGCATGTATTAGCTGAGAGATGCCCAGTGGACCCCAGGAACAGTCCCATCCCTAGTCCCAAAGGCAGCAAAACTGCAAAGTCCCTGCTAAGTTGAAGGCTCGCAGATTCTTTACCAACCCCAAATCCAGTACTCCGCGTTACACAGAGATATGGGCAAGTCACCTCAGAGGACTTTTATCATGTCAGTGCACTTACCGTGGCGACTGCATCGTCAGCTACAATTAGTCTTGGAGGCATCCGAGGAGTTGCAAAAATTCCTCAGAAAACATCTCACTGTTTGTATGCCAGAAGAAACCTTTCTGACCAACGCAGACAACCACCCAAAGCCAAGACACATAAAATCTGATAAAGGTTGCTGTCTTAATGCTGAGCCCCGTGCTGACGCATGTGCTCTGGGTAGCACAGTAGTGCTGTTCTGCTCGGGGACCCAGAGAGAAGACAGTGAGCAGGGGATCTCATATTCAGGGATTTCTACATGAGAAAAGACCACCATACCCACCCAGTTTGATCCCCTGTGCACACGCACACAGTGACTCACACATGAGCTGGATTAAAGCATATCTTGTAGAAAGATAACTAATCTCATTTTAAAGGCTTCAAGCAGTCCACCAGCTCTCCAGATAAACTATTCCAACATTTAATTACACTCCCTGCTAGGAAACTACATCTCCTCTCAAGTTTAAATTGCTCTAACTTCAGCCTCCACGCGCTGTGTCTCCTCCAGCTTCGTCACCCAGACTGAAAGGCCTCGCACAGCGCTCGCTTCTAGGCGCTGGTTTTCCAAGCAGCAGTAATCAGTAATCAAGTCACATCTCAATCTGCTCCTGCGAGCCCAACAGGACTCAGATGACTGTTGAAAGCAGGATACAAGGTTGCATGGGCATTTGGTTTGACACCACCGTAAGCTTTTCTGTGGTTTGTCTGTGAATTGTTCCTACAGCTCCGATAACCTTCTCTAAGCAGGAGCTCAGACAAAGCACCCTGGAAATGCACGCCCGAGAAGTGCCTCTGTGCAGAGACAGGAACTGCTACCGCACCCGGGCACGCTGCAGGCGTGCGGTGGCGGTGAGGAAATGACAGTGTACAGTGGAGAGCCACGGCAGTAAAGGCAGAGCTGCACATCCGTGGTCAAAAAGGACAGTAATTGCAATCATTCACTGGCAGTTTATCTGGTCTGCAGGCTCGTTCTGACTCTACAGAAACAGCAGGTTGGGTTCAGAAGGGCTTATTATTTCCTACTCGTCACCATGCGAGCACAGCCATGTCAGCATGCCCCATTCCCTGTGTTGTGCGTGGCGCTGAGGACCCCAGCCAGCTCCCGGCATTCACTCCATCTGCACCACGTCTCATGAGTCCTTGGCTCCAAAAACCTCTGAAGCACAGTGCCGATAACACCCTGACTGCAGGACACAACCGGGGTGCAGAGCAGGACTGGACAGAAACGAGGATGTGGTCACCCAGGCGCACTCTCGGTGGCACAGTGTGCAGTACCAGATTATGGAGGATTTCTGTTAGCAGCAGCACCATCAGCACTCCCTCGTTATCCCAAAGAGTGGAGAGCTACCTGTACCCTGCTGTACTAGACTGCTGCTAACAGCTTGCTGGCAAGAATTTGTGTGGAAACTGTCCAACCTGGCCAAGGACACCAATCCCAAGGACAAAGCAAAGGCAGGTCAATGCCCTGGGAAACCCAGGCAGGAAAGCCCTAAACTCAACAGCTCCTCTGGGCAGGGCGAGAGACCTCCCGCGGCAGGAGAAGCAGCAAGCAGCGTGGCATGAACTCCACGGGAAACCAGAGAGCCTCCCAGCCTCACCTCCTCCCACCACTCTCTGTGGGAGCTGCACCTCTTGAACTTGCACACAGAAGAATAATAATGAACAAGCCACTCACATCACTCCAGGGGAAAGAGAGGAGGAAAAAGGGGGCCAAGAAAAAGGAAAGAAACAGAAGAGAACTTGCCAGGGATGAAGAGAGATCCCTGGTTGAGATTTCCTTCGTTTTGAGAAACAACAGTGTCCCCCATGCACAGCAACTCATCAGACTTGACCGTTTCCTTGCAGGGAGTTCATGCCACCAGCTAAAGCCCTTCTACTCTTTCTTCTGTCCTGGCCACTAACCAGCGTAAAATCCCAACGGGAGCTTACCTGAGACCCGCATAAAAACGCCAACACCCACCAAAGGCTCTCCCAAAGAGTGGTGAAAGCAAGAAACTCCACAACAGCTTTTGCTTCCAGCTCAGCAAAGCAAGGCACTGCAGATGGACTGGAGGGAAGGACGGCCACCAGCTCTGTGACACCCACACCAGCCCTTACCTGTGCCTCCCGTCAGCTGTGTGCTGCTCCTCTCCTTCGCGAGCCCGTTGGCTTTGGGGCTAGCGCTGGGTGCTGCTGCCGTTGTCGCCCTGGGTAGCCTCTTGCCCGGTACCTTCACTGTAGTTCTCAGCAGATCGATTTCCTTCCCATGGACATTCTGCATGTAATCCTACAGCAGAGAGGCAGAATGCTTCAAAACCAGCCCTGCCCTGGCCCACCACTCTCAGCTCCCCTCCCATCCACATAACCAAAACTAAAACCCAGATCCACTCATCCGCATGGTAACTGGTTACAGACAGGCGGTCAGCCAGCGCCTTGGAGGTGATCTGGGAGCTCATCACATGCTGGTTTCTCTTGCACTACACTGAAGCCTCAGGTCAGGTGAGCTAGAGGTAAAAGACCCTATGACTTTCCCAGTGCCCACAGAAAGTTGTTTTCTGACAGCACAGATGCAAAGCCTTGACTCCAACCCGCCTTCTTCCCATGACGAGCTGGTGCCTTAGAACCGGCTCCGGAGAAGTGCCAGGTCGCAATTCCAGTGCCCAGAACTAGTCATCTCCGACACCAGTAACGTCGGGATGTTGCCATGGGCAGTCAGGTGCCATGACAAGCCTGGCTGGGGATCAGAGGTTAGATGGAGCAAAAGACAACGTAGGTGGCAGGCAGTGCTTCTTCCCTGTCATCCGTTGTCTTTTTAATCACAGCACCCAACTGTAACAGCTAATGATATAAGATGGTACAGTGTAAGTAATGGGGTACCTGGAAATTCTCTCTCACGTCACAGCTAGGATAATTCAAGCCTCAAACAACACAACTCAGGACACCTCCCTTTTACATTCACCTGCACAGCTTTACATTATTCAAAACTTGGTGTTTCCACCATTTCTCTGGTAGACTATTCATTATACAATGAAAAACTCCACTCGCAGACTGTTCATATCATTCTGCCCTGTCTCCTAACAGCATCTCCTCTTTCAGTCAAAATCAGGCTGCAGACCCCTAGCCTCTCCTGAGCTGTGTCCATCCCTGCCCTGCGCAGCTCTCCCCCAAGCCTTCCCGATGTGGCTTGGCTCTTCCTGGGGCTCATGCCCCAAGAAGAGCCAACCAATGTGACCCCCAAAGACGCACAGAGGGGTCTTGGGGAGACCTCAAGGGAGCAGGGACCGAAAGCTGAGCTAGAGACTCCGGGAGGAATTGTGACGTGGGTGCATCCTCCCCTGGCTCTCTGCGCTGGGGATATGCACTGAAATCGGGAGAGGAGGGGCAGCAAACGTCCAGGGCGAGACTGGCTGCTGCAGGGAGGCTTGGGCTTGCTCCAGTTCACAAGCAGGTCACCAAAAAAATTAATTCAGACCTGGTTCCTCTCTGCTTCCAAATCCAAGAAGATAAATACATGAACAAGATCAGTTTAGGAGTAACTGTTCTCCCAGTCCTTGGCTCCAAGAAGTGGGTGAATGGGGGCTGCATGGGCAATGCTCTGTGGTCTCAGGTGGTTACCCGAAAGGGTTACCACCTCTCAGCAGCACATCAACACTCCGGGTTGAACTTTTCTCCTTCCACAGACCCCTGTAGAGGCATCCAGTCCTCACAGCAAGCCCAAGAGATGGGGCAGCATGGCAGCACAACCTTCTGTGATTCCAACTTCTGGCTGACTTGACCTCAAACGACACGCACACACCCTTTGGTGCCCTGAGCAATCCCTAGATAACCAGCCCAACCAGACTTTGCTCCAGGCTGTTCCTGGTTGGGTGGGAGCCTGGTGGCACCCCTGGGCAGGGAATCTCAGAGGGGCTGGAGGATTTTCCCTAACTCAGCACAATTGCTGCGGTAGCCGGCTGCCTGCCGGAGAGAGCGGTCACCAGCGCACTGCTTTTATTACATGCTATAAAACAGCAATTTCTTCCCAAGCCTCCTCGCTAATTACCCAGCCAGTTCTCTCATTTCATTTTATTACTGGAATTAACAACGAGTTCAAAGCGTGGAAAGCTATTAAGATGTGTGATTAAGCCACATTCAATTAGTTTCTACAAACAATTTAATTGATGTTGCAGATAGAATTAACAGAAGGTGATTGTGTGAATGGCTCCACTGGCTGCAAAATGGGAGATGCTTTCTCTCTAGCTCTGCGCAGCACAGCACAGCCTGGCCAGTGAAGCTGGGCTGAACCACATACGCCTTCCTCACGAGCAGAAGCATTTACTCTCCAAGGCCTTGGGGAAGTGATAGGAAACGACACTGGTCTCTTCACGGAACTTGTTCTTTTCCTGTCATTGAACACACTCACAGAAAGGTAAGAAAAATACAGATGCAACCAGGAAAGCTGTGCTGAATCCAGGGATGGGGTCCCGAGGCACTCCTGTCTTCAGCAAGAACTGCTGCCCGCTGCTCCAGCTCCAGGCGTCCTACTTGCAAAGTCTCTGCAACCGCCGACCGTTCCAGAGAGGCGGCAGAGGTGGCACCTCAGGGCAGGACACACAGCTCCCTCGGACCCACGCGTAGGTCCAGGCTGGGAGTCAAGGCAGATACGTCTCCATCGAGGAGTCGCAGAACACTTGATTTCAGGGCTGGAGCCAGCTCACCAGAGCACTCTGTCAGCCTGTGACTGCAAACCCACAGTTTAACCCTGACTCCCAGTGAGGAAACTTCAAAGTGGAGCTGGAGGTGCCAAGATGAGATGCAGATCCAGAAACAGCTCGAGTGACAAACACCCAAAAGCAGATGAATAACCCCACCAGAAAGCTTTTGGTTGGTAAACTCAGAAGTATGACCCAGCCAGAGCCATGCTGTAATCTTCATCCGATGGGGCACAGACACTTCTGGGGTGGATACATCTACGGGAGGAGCAAGAAGAAGGGCAGGGCTGCCGACCCCTGTGGTACCCACACTCACCCCAAGAGGGACAGGGAGAGAACGTAACAGAAACGCAAGAGCAGTGTAGGCAGAAACTGCCCTGAATCATGCCAAGGAAAAGCCACTGGGAACACAAAAGCAGCACAAAAATGCTCTGGGGTTTGACCATCCTGCCAGGGACTGGGAAAGACCCCCTTCCCGCAGTGCTCAGCCGTGCTCTCAGGGACCCCTCTGCTGCACCCTGAACTCTGCCATCCCCCAGACACGCTGCAGTACAGGGAACGAGGCAGGGGAGAAGCTGGGACCTCTGCAGCTCAGGGAAGGAGCTTCAGGGTGCTGCGTGTCTCCTAGACTGACTGATGATCAGTGCTTGCTCTCGCAGCAGCTTACCTCACCATGTGCCTGCTGGCCTGAGAGCTGCTGCCACACATGGAAGTGGCAAAGCAGCACATGCCCTTCTTCGGGCTTTGTTAGTGGCCCAGGGTGTCCAACCCTAACTTGCTCTGTCATTCCATGAAGACATGGGAACTTGCTTCATGCCATGGGAGACAAGCCCAGTGACAAATGCACTGCAGCACCTCCAGATTCACTCTAGAAGATGGGGAGGAGAGGACGTAATGGGACATCCTCTTCTGGACCACCTCTTCCTCCAGGCTTCCTTCCTGCGTCTGTCCCCTCCAAGCAGGTCATAAGACAGATATCCAGAGGGAAGGCAAGGCAAGGTGGAAGGGCATTTGCTAATCAGAACAGCACAATGCTCACCAAAGCCCTTGTCAGCATCGCAGTAAAAAAATGTACCACGATGGTAGGTGGCTCTTTTTCCCAGTCCTCAGGGAGGCAATGACACAGAGGGAGCACGCAGACCCCCCCATCCTCGCAGAAGTCAGAGCAGGGCAGCAATCAACTCTGCATTCTGTAGCCCACACATAATTAGTCCTTGCTCTAAGTAAACATATAGGGCAATACAACACGTATCTTGGGTGCAAGGTTCAAAGCGAAACCTAGGGGAGGAGAGGCCCATCTCCTGCCTTTCTTAGCAACGGGCTGTGGATCACCAGTAGCACCAGGTGGAAGCAAACCAGATTTTTGCTTGGGGCAATGTAGTAATGAAATGAAACACCGAAGAAGTGCAGTAAGGAAAGCGAGTGACATCAATCTAGATCACCCCCTGAGGAAGAAATGGTGTAAAAACGAGAGAAACCTAGTGTGTAGCAGCATCATCTGAGAGCGGTTAAACAACATCCCAGAAATTACTCTGCCTCTACAGCTAATTGTAATAATGGCCTAGGATGTCTCCAATGGAAATGTGATAAACCCACACACGCGTGTGAGCACACACGCAGAGCAGACAGCAGCAGCCGCCGTTCCCTCCCAGTTTGGTTCTATAAAGACCAAAAAACGGGGCTACGAAGTTAGGGAACAGCAGAACCACAGTATGGTAGAGGGCTCAAAGACTACAAGAAAAAAACCTGTTCCCCAGGCTCCCACAAATCAAGGAAAGAAAACGCAATGACCGGCTTTCCATTGTAAGGACAGGAGGGTGAAAAGGCTCGGTGGCTCAGAAGCTGGATGACTGAGCATTGCAAGCCCATGAGTTAGAGATGAAGAGTTAGAAATGAGGAGAAACACTCCGATGCCCAGGGCACTCCGACGCCCATGCGTCTGAGAAGTCTGGGGACACACCGAGGGCCGGGAGCATTCAGGAAGCACAGGAGCTGCAACATCTTGCTCTCCTCCCTTTGGCCCCGCAGAGCGCTCCAGCCCCTTAAACCACCCCACGCCCGAGCGCTGCCCCGCGCTCCGCCGCCGCTGCCCGGCCGTCCCGCTGCAGCACGTCCCCTCTGCGGAGGTGTCACAGGTGTGTCTGTCCGTGGCTCACTGTCTCAGCAGCAAACTGTGCTCAAGAGGGAATGGGGAAGAAGTCATTAGCCCCGCAGTGGGGAGGCGACAGAGATGGATGGGGAGGCAGCTGTGTGCCTGAGCCAAGCAGTGAAGAGGATCAGGGATGCATCGAGCAACAGCTCAGCTCGGCAGGCTCTGCACAGGCACCTCATCTCCATTACCCAATACCTAGCAGCCAGGAAAATTATTCCACACCCAAATGACACCATCAGCCGTGGCTGCAAGGAGTTCTCCGCCTGCTCCTCACCCCAGATGCAGGGAGGCATCAACCCCTGCTTCAATGGACTGAGCAAGTCAAACGGAGAAAAGAAAGATGCATTTACTTAGCATAATTCTGTGCAGAGCATGTTCCTATCAGCTTTTCTCACCCAGCCTGGCACTGCAGAGACAGCGCTCATGAGAGGGAAGAAGTTTTCTCCAGACCCTGGTAAAAAACCAGCTCTGCTGCATACACCTGCCCTGCTGAGGGCTCACGCTGAACCTCCTGCTGCAGGCAGAGACAGGGGCTTTCACCTGCTGCCAAACCCTTCCCAAGCAACTCTCTGCGATGGCGGCATCTGCAAGGGGACCTGCAGCAGCAGCCATAGCATGGAAGAGGACACTGCTCCATCCCACCCTGCTCCTCTACCCAACCCGGCGCAGTACTTACATGCAAGCTGGGGTGGTAGGTGAGGACTCCGTTGTCACACAGTGTCACGTACTTCTTCTTCCACTCTTTGTTGAGAGACTTGCCACTGCGTTTGAGGAGAATACCCTAAAAGAGAAGTGTCAAGGGACTCAGACCTTGTTTGGCCCAGCTACCTCCCGCTCAGCTCCAGCATCGCCCCTTGTAGGAGACCGGTCTTTGAAGAGACACAAAGATCAGGACTCAAGAAGATATCTTCTAGGTTGGGCTTCCCAACAAAGTTTTCCCTGGGACTTGTAGGAAAAGGGCTGCACCCCTTTCCTCACCAACTCCAGCATGTCTCCCCAGACAGCCCACCCCCCCATTTTCAGAGACGAGGGTTTCCACATGCCAGTACTGATGCTCAGATCCTCTGAGGGACCCATCACATACTCTGCTGTCCCAAATCACTCCCTCTGGGAAACCCTTCTTGAGGTGAAGAACAGTGCCAACACAAGGCAGAAGCAACCTCACCACCGGCTGACACTGCTTGCTCTGTTACCACAGTGCTCCCAAGCCTTCTCCCATCACCAAAAGCAGAGCCAGAGGGATGGTTGACGCAAGGACAATTTGGGACAGGCAGAGGCCAATCATTGGAACAACGCTCCAAGATACAAGTCTCAGGTCTCAGAAGGGATATGCATTCTCTTGCCTGCTTGCAATTCTTTGTTAGAGATGTCAAACAGATGGAGCTACGGACATACGTCAGGCAGTAGAGCAGGTCCTGGGCAGTTGAGGGGTCAGTTCACCCTCTCTCCCCATTTGGATTTTACATGAGATCCATCCTGTGGTCTTCAGGCACAGCGCACTCCTAGGGCCTGAAAACAACCGTGCTCACATGCCCTGAAGCTCCCTCTTCCCACCAGCCCAACCCAGAACTAACTTCCATTGATCTGAACCGACACTTGGAGCTTGGACCCTCCAATCCTCTCCCCACCCAGCTCTGCCTCCCGCGGCAATCTGCTTCTGGCAGCAATTCGTCACGCACCAGGTAAAGCCAGAGGTGGAGACGAGAAGGAAGACAGGGCAAGAATCCAGGCGCAAGTGCTCTGGAGCAGGGATGGGGAAGAGCACATCAAGTATTCTGCTGGCAGGGAGGAAAGGACAGCACAGGGGGACAAAAGTACACATGAATAACAAGAGTCTGGGAAAAGGCTGGATCTACCAACTGTCAGGCCCAGGACCTCCAAAAGCACTGTCTGGACAGACATCCAGACTGGCTGTTCCTAACGTGGCAAAAATCTGGGCCCCAGGCCAGCACCTCCTCAAAAACCCGGACAGAAAGTTCCTGTCCTGCCAGCCTCAGCATATTTGGGGGCCCCGTCCCACTGCCTAGAGACTGAGGCTGCCGTGCCTGCACGATGGAAAAACACAACAAAAAGTTGTAGGGTTTGGCACATGCTGGGGTAACAACGCTGCCAGACATGACCATGAAATCAGCACTAACGATGCACAAAGGGCAGAAGTGCTCCATGACCGCTTATGTTCAGTACTTGTGAAGCAAACAGTGTGAAAAGGAAACGCCTCCTACTCGAGCAAGGACAGAAAGTTAAAGCACAGCAGCAAAAGCTAAGCTGTGTTGGTGGCAGGATCTGATCCCTTGCCTTCGAGAGCTCCGAGAGAATTAGCTGCAGAGCTCACTCAGCTGCGGTTAAAAGGTGCTGATTTTAACATGCCTCGGAACATGGCAGCAGTCGGAAAGCTCATGCTTTGCCAAGACCTGCAAGGGGAAAAGCAATGACCCTTTTAATTACGGCCGCTTAGCCGGACGCTTACACCGGGCAAAACTGTGGAAAAGCCACCGCAAGAAGAGATCAGCAAAGAACGAGAGGACAGCAGCGTAACTAATGCCAACCAATGCGGAAACAGGTCATCGGAGAAGTCTGATGCTACTTTTGGTAACATCACAATATCTGATGACTATCGTAACTGCCTTGACACAGCATTTTTAGTTTTCTGTAAGGCTTTTAACCAAGCAGCACACACCATTAAAAACCAACTGTACAAAATCCATGAAACCATTAATGTACAGAGTAACAACTGGTTAAGTGAAAGGTCTCAAAGTGTAATCACAAATGAGAACACGCATAATCATGAATGTCAGATCCATGTCCAACAGAAGTACTTGGATAGCGGTCCAGCCAATCTGTTTTTAATTCACATTGCGTAATCAACGTCTTCCCCAAACGAGCTCACAGAAAACAAACAAACAGAAAACTTGAAGCCAACACAGAAACCGCACAGCGTAAGTCACCGCACTGACAAACTGTGTCGCACCTCTTGGCAAAGCAGGCTCCTGCGAACAGCGTGGATTTTAGCACAGCTCCCACAGGGTCCTGCTCCCGGACACCGACTGCCAGCCCCCCCCGCGGGCTGGGCTCCGCGGGCCGAGCGCCATCGCCGAGCGGCTCCCGAGCTCCCGGTGCTCAGCCGGGGAGGTAACCCAGCCCGGCAGGGCACTGCCACGTCGGACGAGGCAGAGGGCGTGACACTGTCCCAGGAAAGCAGGGCTGGACCCGATGCTTCCTGCACCTCCCCGACAAACGGCAGCGCGGCACTTGTCCCGTCACGACGACCATCCACAGCGGCCCCAGGCACTCCGCAGCAGCCTTCGACGTCACCAGAAGACTGCGATCACCTCTCCGTGCACTCTTCTCTCCTCTGCTGCTTCCGCATTGCAGAACGTGCTCCTGAGAGCATGAACCTGCTCGCCCCGGAGAGCCTCCGGCCGGCCCAGAGCTCGAGGGCAGCATCCTCCCCTCGACACAGCAGACCGCTCGAGGCCAGCGCCAAGACTGCTTCTCGGGTCTCGCACAGCACCCTCTCACACGCAGCGAGCAGCACCTGCGTCTTCTCAACGCCAGGGCACGGCTGGCTCTGCTCTGGCTCTGACCTACGCAAAACTGTCCTCTCTAGCAGCACCGCTGGGCCACGCATCTCCCAGATGATGTGTGGAAATGATTATTCCTCCTCGCACATAAAGACAGTTCAATATTACACCAGCTCACCTAGATACATGGTGGATTCTCTGTATTTGAGAACTTTTGTTCAATATCTTTCAGACGAATCTGCTCCAGACCAGGCTGAAGTTACAAATTTGACGCAAAGTCACTGGGCAAAATTCTGTGACTTCTGGGCATAATGATCTCTTCTGGCCTTAAACCTGGCTCAGTTCTACAGTCTGACCTGCCAATACATACTGCAGAATAACAGCTCCAGCTGCCTCTCCTCTCCTCGATGTGTCTTCGACTTGATACACCTTGGTGCTACAGAAATACCTACTTCAACACTTCCAGGCTGCTGCATCTTCTATCAACCCCCAGAAATGTGTTGTCTGCAAAGAAGAGTTCAGCTGCAGTTAGTTCAGCCACAAATCTGGAACTTCGCAAACTGAAACACAAGCAAAACCAGACCTGGAAACAGAGAATCGAGCACTGGCAGCCCATTTTTCCAAGCCACAAGGCACAAGAATCCAAAAATTGGGAGCAACTACACAGTCTAAGTAAACACCTAATAAAATGGGGGAGAGGGGAAGAGGCCCTTAAGGCTTGGCAAGAAACAGCTGAATCGAGGGACAGAGCTCAGTTAGAGTTGTTGTTCGCTGCTGTACTGAAGCTTGAGAGGCAGGGGACAGAAGCTGAGAGGATCCCAGGTTTTAACGGCGTTGCTGTGCTGACTGCATCAAGGTTACAGCTCTGCAGCCCAGCTCCTTTTCTGATGGCAGAATGTGGAGGTTTGGCCCAGCAGCATCCAGAGAACTCTCCTGGCCAGGTTCCTCAGGTCTGCCGAGAGCCCTGCGCCGGCGCACGTTGCCACTCCTCGAGCTCTCTCTGCTTCTCGTGTAAAGATTTACAAGAAAGAACTCTTCCACAAGTTTCTCCCCGAGTGTGGAAGTCACGCACGAAGGGAAGAAGCTGCCAGAGATGAAAGGCAAGACAGCCCAACCCTCTTCCTCTCCCCACTTTTCCTTTCTTTCCCGGCATTTTGTCGGCCAGCGCAAGTGTCTCTGCGTTGTGTTTGGATTGTGGTGGTGCACAGTAAAAGCAGCAGCAGCAATATGCAGCGTAATGAAGCAGGGAGCAGCGATGGCCCCCAAAGGACTCGTTTACTCCACAAATCTCCCTTCCACTCACTTTTTGCTAAGAATTTTAACACCAAACTTAATTGTAAAGTCGCGTATTGATTGGAAAATGCAAATGGCAATTTAAATGTAATCTAAGCTCCCAGCATGATCCCAGCTCCCAAGGAGGAGGAGTCACCCGCCTTGGGCCCTACTGGAGTGCATGGCCCGAGCTGAGCCGGGCCAGGGACCTGGGGACCCCCGGGCTGCCTGTGCAGTCAGTAGAGCCTTCCCAGAAAGAATCTGGTACATGTGCAATTAGGAGTTCATTCCTAGTAACGAACAGCTGGGGAAGCTTAGTCTCCCAGTCTAATTAACCCACTTCTCAGAGACAATCGTCCAGCTATGAAGAAGCTCTTCTGACCTGGCAAGACCACCTGAGCCAAGGTATCACCGAAAGGACACTGCAGCACAGGGAACCGGGGCCCATGGTGCACAGCAGCCCCAGCAGAGGCACTGGAAGCAGAGGAGGTGCTGTCCTAGGCGTAGAGGGGCCCCGACATCCATGGCCTCATCTGTACCACTGGGCATTTCCATCTTTTCTAGGTGTGCGTGGGGCCTAAGGGAGGCAGAGCAGGTCACCCAGAGGCGCTGGTCTCAGTTGTGCTGGAGAAGGTGGTGACAAGTGACAGCCAGTCACCGCGCCTCCGCGGCAGCATACGTCCCTCCCCAGCCAAGCAGAATCTCCACCCAACATTTCTTATTTCTGCAACACCCAACCCAGCCTCGCACTTCACGGTCAGCCTTCCCAGCCATCTGACTCAGCTCTGTGCAGCAACCCAAAGCACCAAACAAGGCTATCAGCAGTCCCTAGCGCTAGTCCTCTTCTTGCAGAGTCCAGGAGGAGATCGTGCACTGGTCACAGTAATCGCAACCACAGGTATCACGGATGGAGTCTACAGGGCAACTACCCCTACCGCTGCCCCACACCACCTACTGACTTCAACTGTCTTTGGGTAATTGTAACATGCACCAGTCTTGCTCTTCCAAGCAGAGGAATCAAACCTCTCCCAAGGGTATCTACCAGTGGCCACAGCACCCCAAACACAGCATTTGTTGCCATCAACCCAGGAGCACACACGCTGAGGGAAGTGAAGCAGTCTGAAATTGGCCAAGCACCCAGGCAGAAGATCCTGCATCTCTGCCACTCTACAGCCCTCAAAATGACTGGTTTCTCTGCTCTTTTATGGCTGGGCAGGACCACCAGACCACGTAAGAGCAAAATTAGCTAAAGGCCCTGCTGTGTCGCTGCCCTTCAAAGAGACAGCAAGCAATGAGATCTCCACAATCTTCCAGAAAGGGCAGGTCCATATCAGAGAGCAGAGCAATCATCAACTATCCCAAATCTTTGTGATACGGAGCTACAGCTCCTGAGAGTGCTCCTTCTCACACTGGTGGTACCAAGTCATCGCTCCTCCTGCAGGGACGACCCGGCGAAGGGCCACAGCACAGGCGGTGCAGAACTGCAGCGCACTCATGCTCCTCTGGATCCACTGCACTGCATGTTGACACCAACTCCATCCCCCTCAACCTGTATGTGGATTTACATCAGCCCGTTTTCTCCTTTAGGAACAAACCTCCGTGCCTTCCTACGATGCTGTAGCACAACTGTTTAATTCAAGCAGTGGGAGGGCAGCAGAATGCCACAGTATCTCAAGAGACAGGTCACAGCAGTGCTCTGCGGCCTGAACACTGCCCCAGGGCCAGCAACTCCTGTGTGCTGTAACACAGTCAGTGAGAGTGCAAGGAAGGAGATCTATTTACATAAACTGGTGCCTACCATTCCAACAAGACACTGCTTCCCCCAGTGCCAGTACATGTTCCTGCAAAGAGACTGCCAGGATCTCCTCTGCAAAACCACCTCCTGCAGCTTTGGCTCTGGGAGGTGCCAGTCCTGAGCCCTGGTGTGGACCCAGATCTCACAAGGTAACGTTTTGCTCCAGGGCTCTTCTGGCAGGCTACTGTGCAAACCGGTCACTTCACTGCGGTCCTGAACCAGGCAAGTAGTTTGGCACCTACTTCTTACTGCAAAGCAGAGGAGTGATGTGCAAGCTTTGTTTTGTATATCAAAATCCAAGCGTGCAGGCACTGCCACTGCAAGCCAACTACCCACCACACAGACCGGCAGCCAAAAGGCTGCACACCGGGCATGGATGCAGGGCTTGGACTGGGCACCTCAAAGCTCTCTAGGTCAGTGCTAAGCGGTGCTGGAGCAGGCACACCATCTCCAGCACATCAGCCCTCCCAGAGGGTGCGCAGAGGCAGCCAGCTCTGCTTGGAAATGAGGGGAGAAGTATGGACAGAGGGGCAAGAACCCCAGCAGCAGAAGCGATGGAAGAAACAGTTAAAGGAGCCATGATTCCTGCTCCAACCATGAGATCAAAAAAAAAAAGACCTGTGCCACAGGGAGAGAAAGGGCATGACCTGGCACGCAGCTGATACGCCCCTTCCTGCTGGGGCCGTGCAAACCTTCAGCACTCCAGAAGCAGAGCCCGCATGTGTGAGACCCCACAGCCCCCGCCCTGGCGCCCGGCATTGGTTCCCCTGCTACTGCTCCCCTCTGGCCCCAGAGTCGACCTTCAGCACGCTGCCCTCCCAGATACAGCCCTCCTTCAGTGCCGCTCCACTGCACTCCCCGGTCAGTGGCACTGACAACAGCGCTTTGCAGACCTTTCACTGTATTATTACACAGACTGGAAGGGCAGGAAGCACTGGGAGCTGCAGCAGCAAGCAGGGTGTCTCTTTTGACTCACCACCCCATTCCTTAGTCAGCCTGGCTTCACCAAGTCCTTCCCAGGGATCTCCTTCCCCACTGAATACTCAGCACGAAACAGTACCAGGGAGACAGTACCTGGTCAGGATGCAGGCTCTGCCCTCCCGCCCCACTGCCCAATGCTCCCGTGACGCAGAGATGTAAGCGGCCTGCAGTGTGTAGGCAGACGGGGCAGAGGGAGGTCAGCTGGGGCCGTGGGAAGAAAAATGGATTCACCACAGGGGGCACAGGGTGGAAGTCTGAGACACAGCCAGGTGCTGCAAAGCAGTGTACAGACGAGCTTTGCCAAGTGCAGGAAAATCCCGGCGAAAACACCATCCAGCCAACCCGTACAACTTGGCTTGCTCGGACATTACCCGTCGCTGCTTTCCAACTGACAGACTCAAGGATAGGCAATGTTCAGGGTTGGTTCCAGGCAGCTCGAGCTTCCCTGGAAGCCAGGAGGCAGGAGCTGAACGCACCGCTGCTGAGGCAAGTGGCCGCCTCCCTCTGACCCATGACAGCTCCCAGTGTGGGCACCGTGCTCACCATGCTTTGCCATGGTGGGTGACCTGGAGAAGCTCCCTGTCCAGCTGGAGGGCAGGCAGGCTGCAGCGGAGCAGCAGTGGCAGCAGCAGCACCACCACCAGCAGCAGG